TTATTAATTATCTAACACATCATATTTCTATGTCCTTGTTTAGTAAAATATGTATAAAAATTACATTAGAATTGATTTATGTGAAATATTCATAAGCTCTAATCTAAGAAAGTATGTCTTATATTTAAGGTGGATTTTTAGAAAGCGTATGATTTAGTTTGTTCAAAACTTTTTGATTATATGCTTACTAGATTTGGTTTTAATGTGAAGTAAATGATCTTGATAAGAGCTTGGGTGTTCATTGGTAATCTTGTGGTGTTAGTTAACGGGTTTCCAACTCAAGAGATTAGCATCCTGAGGGGTCTGAAATAAGGGGATCCTATAGCCCATTTATTTTTTCTCATTGTGGAAGAAGAGTTAAGTGGCTTAGTTTCCAGGGCTAGGTATGTAAGTATTTTCTCTAGGTTTAGGTAGTGATTGTATGATGTGTTCGTATATCATCTTAAGTATGCATATGACACACTCCATGTGGAAGATCTAACTCTTGCAAATCTGTGGAGTATTAAGGTGTTAAGATAGCTTTGGAGCTTCGGGTTAACTTCTTTAAGAGAAGTCTTATATAGGTTAACATGGACACAATCTTTCTAAACTTAGTAGTTGGTTTCCTTATCTATGAGAATGAAACCTGTTATTTTAAGTACCTTGGATTGCTATTAGGGGTAAATCATAGGCTTGAATTTACTTGGGTTCCTTTAGTCAATTTGCTGACTAATAGGCTATATTCCTTGAATCACAAATATGTTACTTTGGGTGGTTGAGCGATTCTTCTTAGTTATGTGTTTACTTCTATTCACATCTTATTCTTGTCATTTTTAGAGATGTGTGTAAAGTTCTGGAAAAAGATTGTTAGGTTACAGAGAAGGTTCTTTTGGAGATAGGTGAAGGGGGAATCTAAGATCTCCGAAATTAATTGGGATAATGTCTGTAAGCCTAAGACTAAAGGGGATTAGGAATTAAGGATCATTTAAGGAGGTTTCTTACAAATGCTCCAGGTCTGTGGTGTGATATTATTGTAGTAAAAAATGGTACCTCGTTTGTTTCCTCTCTTCAAGGGAGGATGACTTATGGGTTCCGATCTAGCTCTACTTGGTGGAAATTTATTTCTCTCCATGGGTCCAAAGAGGTTGACACTTTAAAGTGGTTTCATGATGATATTGTCTTGGGTTGGGCCTTTAGACACCCTTTTGGAATGAACCTTGGTTGTGAATTAATACTCTTAAAGTTTAAGTTCTCTGGCATGCTTTCTAACACCATTTAGGTATATGGGTTGGTAGGAAAGACAAGTCTCATGGATAACGGGGATCTAATTTAAGATCTAAAGTAGATGAGACCTTTCTTTCTTAGAGAGTTACATGTTTTTCAAAATCTTCTTTCTCTTCTGTGAAGAGTTATTTTCCCTCAAGATAATGATAAGTGGATTTGAAAGCAATCAAGAGAGTTTTTTTCCCAGTTGCCTTGACTTACCTTTTTTATTTGGCTGGTTCCTTGTCGGCTCTCACGGATGAAAACCTGACCCTTTTCCCTTATTTGTGTAAGGTTGACTTTTCCTAAAGTGACGATCTTCTCTTGACAGCTTCTACAAGATAAATTCTCTTTTAGAAAGAACTTGCCCAAAGGAGGGTGGGGTGATCACTAATTCTAGTGGGGTGTCGTTTCTTTAGGTGGTAAGGCCAAATGTGGACGTGATTTTCTTACGATCTGACACGATATAGAATGAATCATTTGGAGAGCTCGTCATGATATCATATTTCATGGTGTTTCTAAAACTGTGAAATAGGTGGATGAGAAGAATTTTTTTTCTTCCTAAAAATGGTGTCTAGGTGGAACACCAATGAACTCATGCACTTTTCCTAATTGATTTCATAACCCTGTCATATATTTTAACTAATAGTGGATCGAATGTTTATCTTGATATGAGATAGATATTTGTTTGTGTTATTTTTTTGGTTCTCTAAATGAGTTATAACCTGTTGATGATGGTCTCGGCGGTATGAGCTCTAATATGAATCCTTCAGGGTGGGTCTTTAGCTGCTTGAGTATTTCTCTTATATGCTTTGATTGTTTTGTTGATTGTTTTGTCCATTGTTAAACTTTTGCTTATATCCTTTGTAATTCTTTAGGCACTGCTTGTGCTTTTTAATTATTGATATTTTTATGATTTTTAACTTTTTATTAATATATCATTTTACTATTAAAAAAATTGTCTAACATAACATACTTAAAAGTCCATATTATCCTTATACATGAACATCTAATAGCATTTAAACTTAATAATATCAAATTGATGTAGAACGATAGCTTTTCAAGAAAAACATGATATTTAACACACATGGAAAATTTTCTTTTTTTGCATCAAAGATTTATAATGGGGTCAGTCATGTATCTTTGTATGTCCTTATATGCATATTGTTTTGGGAGATAATGCAGCCTTAGGAAATTATTATGATTATTATATCTTTGCAATAAAAGTCTATATATGGAAGCATCATATGGATAATATATCCATAATTTGAAAATGTGGAGACAAAACCCATATATTAGGTCTATAGAGCACTAAATATATATACATAACAAAATATTGTATATATATGTTTTTTTTATTTTATCTCAGCTCTTCGATTACACATGGATTTTATTTATTTAGAGTTCAATAAAAAAAAAGTTGTATTAATTATTTTTTCATGAAGTTTAAATTTACAATTCTTTTGGTAGACATGAAATTCATTGTTATCTAAATTTAAATATTATTATATCTTTGAAGTATTTATCTACTTATCAATATAATTGACTATTTTCAATTATATATATTTTTATTTATTTCTCTAGAAGAAAACTCAAGTAAAAGACCAAGTAACAAGGGTTGAAGAAGAAGATACATGCTAACATGTGGATCTTTGCTCTGTTACATGTAATCACACTCTGTATCACATTTTTTGGTGTAGTATATAATCAAACACAATTCACACACAACACACTGAATAATATGCAGATGATTTTAATCACTCATATTATGTAAAGATCACTTCTCACCATTTTAAGTAATTAATCATTTTCACTCTCAAATAATTTTTTATTTATTTGTTGATTTAGATATTAGAATACTAATTTTATAAATTTATCAACTCTTTTGCCGCACCAGAAAATTGATCTATCGCATTTGCACTCTATATTATAATTTCATAAACTGTTTATAGTTTTTAAATGAAACGGTGTCGTCTATGAGAACTCAAAATTTATTTTGAGTCCTTTAATCTTTGATCGAGAGACAATTGTTTCAAATTGGTCAAAGTTATATCACATGACTTAAGAATCGTGACTTAGATTAGTTTATATTGTCTTCGTTTTAAAATGACTGTCATTTAAGATTTTTGCACATAAATTAAAGAATGTAATGATATTATTATAAAATATTATATTTTTACAAAATTAATCCTTTAATATAATAGAAGTTGGGTAGATAGTAAAAATAAAACACACAATTGAAAAAATAATAATCATTACTATATTAAAAGTGAAAATAACAGTCATTTTAAAAACAAAAATTTATTTATTAAACGACACGGAGTCAATTCAACATTACTTTAAGGGGTCGATTGAACAATACTTGTATACGTCAATTTCAATGATACTAGTATACGCCAATTGAAAGACACCTAATATATTGAAATTACATAACGGTGACACTTTTTATTATCTTTTCATGAGAACCATGGACGGTAGGTTTACAAGTATGGTACACAGAATAAAGAAACATTGAAAGTTTTCCTCTAACGGCTACCAGTGACTTTCACTTCAAAATATTTTGGAGCTGGGGCATTAGAAAAGGACAACCGCCAACTCATTCAAATTGCTTATCCACAAAATTCATTCTCTAAAAAAAGTTACACTTAAAAGTATTTACTTTCAAATTATGTAATTTTTTTTTGTATTTTTTTTTGTGAGATTTATTAAGATATATTATTTGAAATATCTCATCAAATATTTATTTTAATAGTGTAATTCTAAAGAATTCATATTAAGTTTCATAATTTTATATTATATATTAATATTTTATTTATATTAAATTTTATTTTATTTAAAATACTAATTTAAATTATTTAAATTAAAATTAATATAATATAAATAAAATTCAAATTAGAGTTAAAATTTAAAATGATAATTAAAAAAATGAAAATTTCAGTAAAATATATTATTAAATAAAGGCTTATTAGAAGAAATTGTAAGAGAAAATTTTAAAAATTAAAAATAAAGTGATGAATTTATTAGAGAGAAGTTAAAATTTAAGAAAAATAAAAGTGTGAGAAAAAATCTGTGTAAAATACATCATTTCAGATATTAAAATTTATTTTCACTTTTACACCACTCCTAATTTTTTTCAGTAACATGATCGTTGAAGTGTTAACTTTATATGTCGTCTTCTTCTTGATTACACTGAAAGTTTATTCCAACAATTTAAAATATCATTTCATCATCTCATTTATCATTTATAAATAATAATCACTATATCATAGTTCAAAGATCGATCAGCCTACTCAAAGAAATTTGAACACACTCCTATAAAATTACAATACTAGGAGAACAACATTCAACAATAAAGAAAAAACCCTTTCCTTATTAGTAAAATTAAAGAGTAAAATTAAAGTAGCTTCATTTTAACTTTTGAAGTTAGAAATCAATTTTCCCCCTCTATTCTTTTACCCAACACTTTTTCCATTCTAGTATAAATGATCAACCGTTAAGGGTATTTCTCAAAGGATATCAACATCAATACTAGATAAAGAGTAACAAAATACTAGTCCTAGTAGTTTACCCTTGTATACAGTAGTGTGAAAATCCTACCAAACCCAAAATCACGTGTATACCCTTCTTTAGAACTAGCCTTAAATCTCTTCACTATCACCACTCCATGCTATATAAATTGGCATCATTTCCACAATCTTTTGCAACATTTTCTACACTCTCTCTTACTACACCTCTCTCTCTCTCTCCCTTAATATAACATGGTGAAATCGAAGAAATTTAGAGGTGTTAGGCAACGGCATTGGGGCTCTTGGGTTTCGGAGATTCGTCATCCTTTATTGTACATTTTCTTAACACTCATCTCATTATAAAAATTTGATTTATTTTTTTGAGTTTGAATTCTACAATGTCAAATTAACATGCAATCACACAAATTATTAATTTACGGCGTTAGATTTTCTTAAAGTACTGAGAATGAATCTAATTATGTGAATTAATCGATTGCGTAATTGCATTTTTCATTGAAATTAGAGAATCTAAATTAATTGATTTTACATTTTTTATAATCATATATAAATCTACATTTATGCACTTTTTTTTATTTCATTGATCTTGAAATGTTGTTTGTGAATTGTGATCTATGTGCGTTGAATCAAATAGAGAAATCTTTATGAAATTAATGTTTATTAAGAGAAAAAATTTATTGAACTAATCAGATCTTTGTGAATTACTCATATTGCTTATTAGGCCACATGAAAATATGCATTGAATTAATGAGATCTTAGGGAATTATTGCATGTTAGGCCAAATAAAACTAGGCATTGAATTTATTAATGAGATCTTAATGAACTAATGTTTATTAATTAGGCCACATGAGTGTGATGAATTGAATTAATGAAAGTGAAATTTTGCAATTTTTTGATAAAGGAAAAGGAGAGTATGGCTAGGAACATTTGAAACAGCTGAAGAAGCAGCAAGAGCATATGATGAAGCAGCAATTTTAATGAGTGGAAGAAATGCAAAAACAAATTTTCCAGTTTCTGATAACAATCCAATACCAAATAACAATAATAATAACCAAAAATTATTTGCATCTTCTTCTTCTTCTTCAAATTGCACTACTACTAATACATCACTATCTGCAATTCTAAGTGCAAAGCTTAGAAAATGTTGCAAATCACCTTCACCTTCACTTACTTGTCTAAGGCTTGACACTGAAAATTCACACTTTGGAGTGTGGCAAAAAAGAGCCGGCCCTCGTTCCGATTCGAGTTGGATCATGATGGTTGAATTGGAAAGGAAGAAGAAAGAACAAGAGGAAGGAGAAATAGTACCTAATTCTAATACGGATACATTGTCTCCTGTTGATGTTAATGATAATTCTGAAAATGTCGTGAAACCTGAAGAGGAAGAGGAAGAAGAAGATCAAAAAGAAAGAAATGATAATAACAATGGATTAGATGAAGAACAAAGAATTGCACTTCAAATGATTGAAGAACTTCTAAATCATTGAATAATTAAATGAACGAACGTGTTTATTTATTTGTTTATTTATTGAGTATAGTTTCATATTTGTTAGTGAAAATAAAAAATACTATCGATTTAGTCTTTAAAAATTTTAAACATCAGTCAAAATAGTCTCTGATAAATGTTGAAATATCTGTTAAAATTATTTTAAAAAGGATTAATTTGACTGAAGTTTGAGATTTTTGAGGATGGAAATTATATTTTTAATTTATTATAGATGAATTAGATGGATTTGAGTCTTCATTCATATATATTTATTTCCACGTGGGGTTCACTCATGAAGTTTTTGTAGTGGCCCATGTAAAAGTCCATGTCAATTAGTCCTTTTCAATTAGTTTGATTTGTTTGTTTGTTCAAAATAGGATAAAGGGCAGTGTTGCATTGATTTCCCTTTAGAATGAGGGTAGTCATGTGCTTCTGCCTCTTTGGAATGTTTCTTCAATATATACTATGTATGTAATAGTGTAAGTAAAACTACATAGAGGTTGTTGTGGTGCAAGTTTAATTTTGGCTTAATTACATGAAATCAGAAAAATTAAATGTATCTAAGTATTTTATTTTTGACAAAATCAAAGTCAATTGTTTTTATTAGTTCAAATGTAAGTTAATACAAGAAGGAATCTCATCAAATAAAATACGTTTAGATCAAGAATTAGCTGTCTTAATTAAGGAATGGGCAACCATATTTGTTTGATGCTTAACAAATTTTATTTTAAAGTTGGAAAATCTAATAACAACGATTTAATAGAATTAATAATAAAGTTAAACTCAGAGTTGTCACCAATGTTGGACCGATGAGCATGAATCACCTTATGAGAATCACTTTCAATCACAACAAAAATAAGATGTAAAGAAATAGCGCTCTAGATGGCCTCCCTAAGAGCTAGAGCCTCTGCTTCAATGACTGAAAGTGTGTCTTTGTCCCAAGCAGCCCCTGCAGTAATAATATTATCCGTATCATTTCGAAGACACCATCCTCGGTTAGTTATACCTAAAGGACAGTTAAAACCCATATATACATTACATTGTAGTCAACCACTCGGAGGCGGGATCCAATGTAACAAGAAATAATGATCATCCTCAATATCATAATTTTGTTGGGCTGAAAACCATTCTTGTCATTTATGAAAAGCAAGAAAACCAAGTTTAAATGCTTCTTCTTTCTCATTATACCAAACTATATCATTTCTATTCTTCCATATTCCCTCCATCATAAACGCAACTCTACCGACAATTCTTCTATCCTCTTTACTGCATAAATCAAGTATTAGGGACTTAAGATCATGAAAATTAAGAATACGGAGTGCTATAACATCAAACAACCCGGCTTCCCGCCAACAAACATTTTGATTCTGAACATCCAAAAAAAACATGCCAATCATATTCAAAAGAGTTATCACAAACCAAAAAAATTGGCGGGCAAGGAACATGGTGTTGACGGAGTCTCATCCTAGTAGGTAGGAAGCCCCGACATATTCTCCAAAGGAGATGTTTTACTCTAGTCGGTGCTTTAATATTCCAAAGACTACTCCAATTATCTTCCTCCTTCTCCTCACTGCACTTTTTCCTGGACCTCCTCCAAATACGGTAAACCCGAGCGAACACTATAACTACCATTTTGATTCTCCTTCCAAATTAACCGGTCCTCCTCCACATCCTTCACAAGAGGGACTTGTAAAATATCTATCACACCTGTACTATCAAACAAGTCACGAAGAGCGCATATTCCAGTTTTTAACATTAGGTAACATAAGATATTTAACTGTAAGGTTATACCCACCTTGTTTTTGAGGTTCGTTCATACATCCCTCCCTACTTCCTCACATCCAAGGTTCATTCATTACCTTAATGTTACTCCCGTCTCTAATATGCCACCTACAACTCAAGAGTTAGCACCTCCCGAGCCTTCCAAATACTCATCCTAACAAAACTAGGATTATAGCCAATATTAGCATCAAATAAAGAAGATCTGGAAACTAAAGCTTATGGGTTTTGCATGAGAAACCATCCTTGATTTGTAACCATATCCATATTGAAAGCCCATACCACCTTCATTCTTAGAGCAGGTAAGACTTTCCCACGCCATCCATTTTATTCCCTTACCATTAGATCCTCCACCCCACCACAACGAATTTAACATTTTCTCAATATCCTTGATCATTGTATTTGAAAGAATAAAAATACCCATAATGTAAGCTGGTATAGCTCGAAGAAATGATTTGATCGTTACTTCTTTTCCAGCTCTAGATAATGACTGGCCTCTCCACGAGTTGATTCGTTTCCAAATGTGATCCTTGTAAACGAAAAAAGTTGCCTTTTTATTCCTGCCTATCATCGAGGGCAGCCCCATGTATTTATCGGACCTCAATATATGAGGAACTCCAATTATATTGGAAAGAACTTTTAGCGTCAATATGCTTAAGTTACGGCTGGAAAAAACCTCTGACTTCGTCATATTAATCTCTTGACTTGCCGCTGTAACTTCATAAGATGTCCCACTTCCGTAAGATTTATCCTGCAAAACAAAAACCAATCGTCAGCAAAAAGCAGGCGGGACACACTAGGTGCCCCTCTATAAATCTGAATCCCGGGAATATCTCGCCTAGTCACAGATCCCTTGATAAGGGTCGAAAGTCCTTAGTAGTATGTGAAAGTAGGTCTCTAAACTTCCAAATGTGTCATTTTAGTCATTTGACCTATTTTTGTTAACTGATAGTGATAATTTTTTTTGTCTAAATAGTTAAATTAACTCACTCTAACTTACTTTAATAGGTCACTATAAGAATTCCTTAACATTTGTTTGCACTACCAAAAAATTTCTTTTTAATTTTAATTTTTTTTAGCATTATATCATTTATGATGCTATTAAGATCTATTTAACTTTTAATAAATCTAACACAAATGATTTTTTTAAAAATTATACTTAAAAATGATTTTTAATTAATTCAGTTGACTCTAATATATATTTGAGGACACTAATACTTTTTATTTTTTAAATAGCATCCACACATTCTGAATCTATATTTTTAATTTTTAATCTAATAATAGAATCGATTATTTCTGAAGCTAAAAAAAAATTGACCTAAATTTGTCCCTCTTTTATTTTCAATTTTTCCATATTTTTTTCACAAACTATTATGACTTTTTCTTACTAAAACCAAAATTATTTTAATTAATAAAATATTATTGCAATTAAATTTGAAGGGTTTCAACTTTCCCTACCATATTTTCTATCTCTTTTATATCCCAGTTCTTCTTCTTAGGTGTGTACTCAGTTCAGTTTGGATTGATTTTTGATTCAAAAAATATCAGAATAAATGATATCTCTATATGTTTAGTTAGGTTTGGCTTTTAGTGTTTTTCAAAAATGTAATCGAAGTAACTAACTAGTTTGGTTTGATTTGGTTTTGTTTAGTTTGGTTTGGTTGATTGATTTACAATACTTTTTTATTTCAAATATTATATTTATTTGTGTATTCTTCGATATCATATTTTTTAGCATATTTTCTGCTATTATTTTTTTCAAATAATACATTTCATATAATTTATTTCATGCACTACTTTTCAAATAACTTACAAGTTATACTTAATTCGTACAAAGTAGTGAAATGATTTCACTTGCATCATGAAATAAGTTCCCTATCAAAATTTTTAATCCTCCATTCTTTCAAGTATGGCTCTAAGTTATTATCAATTGTTTTCCCCTTGGGATCCAAAATCAAATTAAAACACAATATTTTCTTATTCAACTTCCACCCCTCATCAATGTAATAATCATTTTCACACATGTAATTCAAATTAAGTGGGTAACTATAGTCATCCGTTGGGTTCGCTGGTTTGACTGTTTCTAAAGACTAAAAATTGAGAATCGAACCAAACCATCTTATTTTTCATTGGTTCGGTTCAGTTTTTGAACTAAACTAGAAAGATTGATTTTTTATGTTTGGTTTGGATTGCCGATTTAATTTATTTTTTCTGACCCTCTTACACCCCTACTTCTTCTCATTGCTTTCTTGCTTCTTCGACCACAACATGGCCACATGTTTAATTTCTCAATCCATCTATAAACCTCGACCATAGTTCGTTTTCTGTTTTTAACTTGACCTCGACCATGGTTTGTTGTTCAAATAACTGAATTCCTCAATTCTCATTCGGCCATCCTTCGAATTTATTGAATAGGTTATTTTCTATTTCTCTCTCAATTTTGTTTCTTTGCTTTTATATTAATATGATTTCGTCTCTCTCTTTTGGGTTGTCATATCGTTTCTTTATTGATAGGGTTTATGGTTTATGAAAATATTTTAGGGTTAACAACATGTGTTTGATTTATAATAATTTTGCTAGCTAGCTTTGATAATCTAAGTTTATGATTATGACAAATTTTGTAGAAACGATTACGAACTAACTATTATTTTCATTTTTGTTATTCACAATTTAGTCATTATTGTTGTTTAGTTGTTGTTTTTATCCTTATTGAGGATTTAATTGAAATCAAATGTAAACAATTTAAGTAACAACACTGAGGAGAATTATGATGTATCTGAAGTAGGGGAGCCCATGTGTGAAATCAAGCTTTCCAAATGTTTTGATGAAGACAAGCTAGCATGCAAAAATGAATGGATCAAGATAGAAGATTTATCTCAAGCAAAGATTCATTGATCAAGATCAACTTTTCAAGACTAATGGCTTAAGGTATATGAAATTTTTGATCTTATGCTCTTAGTGCTCAAAACATTTTTTAATCATGCATTTACTTTATTAAAATAATATTTTGAGTATATACTATGTATGATTGAAGAAGGATGTTTTAAATTGCTTAAAATCTTTGAAAAATCATGATTTTTCAATTTTTGTACACAAGCAATCGATTGTCATGCTAGAACAATCGGTTGCATTCAAAACACAAAAGTTTCTGTTTGACAACAATCAATTGTCATCTAGCAGCAATCGATTGTCATGTGTTATGTTTTCAAATTTTTTGAACGT